GCGTGGTGGAGCAGCCAGGCATGAGCCCAGCCTGGAGTCCACATGAAGCCCCACGGTCATGGTGCTGAGGACAGGGGCACTCACTGTGCACAAGGCTGTGGGAGGAGCGAGGAGGCCCTGATGCCTTCAGGGAAACAGGCTGAGGGAACCGCAGATTCCAGGAAAAGCTGCACCCTAAGACGTCTCTGGGTCAGAAAGCTTGATTCTGCCTCCACGGCTTTTGCATCATTCTCGTTAACTTGTTTACAATGAATAAAATAGCCAGAATAATAATTTTTTCCCGTGTTTATTATTTTGAGTTTTAACCAATGGAAAAGGAAATTCCTTATTAGGGAGGGTGGGGTGAGGATAAGTGGCCTGAGGAGGGGCAAACAGGCCAAGTTTCTAGAACCGAGATGCTCTCTGGCTCTCTAGCCAGTAGCAATCTCCCTCCCACCCTCTTGTCCTGGGCTCTGGATGCTCAGAAGAGAATCTAGGGAAGTTGGAACACTGAAGAGGGAGACAGATTGAGAGACTCCTGTGAATGTTGGAGTGTTTGGTTAATCGTATTATAAGCTAGGCTGGCAGAGACCCTGTCACATAAAAATTAAGTCAACACTGGAGCCTGAGCATTTACTAGACATGTAGCAGGGGATGGCTGGAAATTTATTTCTGAAGGAAAGGAATATTAGGGCTTCCATTCGGTCTCAGCTCTTGGAAGCCAGAAGTCAGCAAGGCTGATCCATGATGCCCTTGAATGGCCTTTTCTGTGGCCTTTATCCAACTGGTAAGATTCCCATCTCCATCTGCTAGGAGCTAAGGCTTTCCCTTCCCTCTGGTCCATCAGAAAGTCGTCTCGAGAGAGGCTCCACTGTCAGTCATTTACACTTGAGTGTGAATATGTTATTGTACCGTCTCTCCCAAGACTACATTCCAAGGTGTCTGCATTCCAAGCCTGAACTTTCCCTTGAAAGTTGTTATTGCTGTAAAAGGCATTTGAGCCCTCAAGGAGCAAGAAAGGAGTTGATTTTGGGTAAAGGGACAGTGTTAGCCCCAATCTTTTCAGTGGCAAGGTAACCTAGGTATCTCAGCCCATAGGCAAAGGGGAAAATTACCGGCTCACACTGGTGGGAAGAAAGCTGAGGAGGCTCCCAGACTTGGAGGAAGAACTGCAGACACCAGGCCTCAGCGAGTAGAGCTGGGCTCAGGCGGGCAGCAAGGCCTGCTTCTGCTTCCCTTTGCACAGTGGCCTCCTTATCCCCTCCTGTAGGCAGACTCCCCACCTGGCAGAGGAGGGGGGATGGCTGCTGACTGACACCTCCTGCAGGGAGGATGTGGCAGACAGGCACTCAGCATCTGCTCCACTCTCCTTCCACAGGGCTGTCCTGTACTGCAGAGGCTAGAAGGCTGAAAACTACATTTCCCAGACTCCCTTGCAGCTACCAATCTGGATGCGATTTAGGTTCTGCATGTCAGACGCACTTGCACAAGACTTGACAGGCAGGTCAGAGGTGGAGCCCAAGCTTCTGCTGTTTTCTGCTGGCCAGTGGAGGTGTCTGGTTTTCCCAGAGTGACTTCTTTATCATGGTGGCCTGCTGAAAAGGGCCGCTTCCTGATCACAGGAGAGATGGCAGCCCCCTTTGTCACCTGGTGCTGTGGATGTGTCTCTCCTGAGAGTTAGTCCTGAGAGACGAAGGTAGAGTCTTTTCAGCTTTCCCAGGGATGTATAGGCCATTTAACAGCCCAGGTTAAATAAATAAAATAAAGCCTGGCAAAGACCAAAAATAGAGTGTTGAGTGGAAAAGTGTTACGGCCCAGCAGGAAACCTGATCCAGGACAGTGTCTAGGGAGGCTGTTTGGGATGAAGTTTGGGGAGGAGAAATGGGGCGGGTTTTTTAAAATCAAAAGATTTGCAAATTCTCTCTCTGTCTCACAGTGGGAAAGCAAAATCTGAGTGATGCTGACTAGATTTGTCGGTTGTAGGAGCATTGGCTGGCTGGTGGTGACTGTGTCAGGATTATGGTGTCCAGGTGTCTCTCCTAAGCACATAAGACCTGGCCTGGGGACTATGGCATCCAGTGCTTTGTGACAAGCCTGAGTTGCATCACGTCACCCAGTTAGGTTGTCAGTGTCAGTGGACTAGGTGGCTGGGTCACAATTTATCACCTGTAATAAGTCTTTTCTGCTTAAACCAGCTGCACTGGATTCTATTGCCTTTACTCTACCCTGAGTGGGGCACCAGGCCTAACTTGTAATCCGAGAGAAGAAAGGGCCACTCTATGGCCTCCCATCCTTGCAAAGCCAGGGAACTGCTCCTGGCCCGGGGCATGTGCCCTTCCTTAGACCAATGACCGTCTTTGAAGATGTGGAGCCATGACGGATCCAGCCTAGAAGGAGGGGTGGCAGATGCTGTAGATGGTCTCACTCCACACCATCTCAGTCCTCTCACCCTTGCTGTCCTCTTGTACAGAGGATTGAAAGCAAAATGCTTCATCTCCCAGCCTTCCTTATAGGCGGTGGTGACCATGTGGCACTTTTCTAGTCAAGGAGATGCCAGCAGAAAGTCCCCAGGGAGGCCTGGGAAAAGGCTTACCAGGAAGACTTCCTTCCTACTTTTTGCTGCTGGTGACATGAACGTGAGACTCGGAGGCGTGGCGACTTCTGGCACCTGAAGTGATGAGAGTGAGGACCAAAGCCAACATGCAGAGGATGGCAGAACATGAAGAGAAGAGGAGGTGGCCTTACTGCAGGCATCACCCAGTCTCAGCACCAGCCCCGCACCCCCTACCTCCAGACTTCTGGTTATGTTAATCAAATAAACCCATTTCTGTTTTTTTAAGCTCCCCTCAGTTGGGTTTTCTGTTAGTTGCAACTGAACTCTTTCCTAACTAACACAGGAGGGACCCTGTGATTGACAGGTCCACTAGACCACATAGAGATGGGGTGGAGTATTCCAAAAGGACAGGAAGACAGGGGTATTGTTCCCAGAAGAAGGAGACTAGAGAGCCTCCTGGGCAGACAGAAGCAAAGTTTCCACAATCTACTTTGATGGGCCTTCTCAACACCCCTAAACTCTTACCTGCAGGCAGCTACGATGCCAACTATGGCTATGACCAACCCTTGTGGTTTGTGCTTACTGAGTGAACTTCAGCAGTATTGTGACCTGGCTGAGAGAAGGACTTTAAGAACCTGATCCGGAGCAATTTTAGGTGGAGGAGCAGAGAGGATGGGATGTGGGTGAGAGCGGTCTATAAGCTCTGGTGTTAACTGGCTGCTGAGATTTTAATAAACAAAGAATGTATTCTATTCTTTGCAGGTAGAAGATAGATTAGCACTGGGGAGCCAAAGGGATAGAGCTGGGGTGAAGTATAGAGCCACTCAGTGCTCGCCATGCGGCTCAAGCCCTGAAGTAACCTTTCCAGGACCTCTCTGAACCCTGGATGTACCTGCTTCTATGGTCACCTGCTGCCAAGTCCCAGCTCCTAGACACAGAGGTCTAATTCACTTTTTGTAGTATTGAGTGCAACTTCCATGGGGCCTAGCACAGAGCGTGCACACAGTAAGTGCTCATATGTGTTTGTTGAATGAATGAATACAAGACCAAACAAATGGACTAGATACAGCTGTGGGCCAGCAGGAAGGATGTCTGGCTTCTGCTAGAGGTTGGCTAGTGAATTGCCACGTGACCTTCTCCTTGCTGGTCCTCATTTACCTCCGTCTGCAGAGCCAAGCAAATGCTCCTTCCTTTTGTCTCCCCACTGCCAGGGCATTCCATATGAATGTCTGAGTCAAAGGGGCAGCTCCATGAAGTTTTGCTTCATGTCTTACTTGCAGCAATTGCTAGAACGAGGCTTTTAATATAAACGTGTGCCTGTGCATATTAAATATAAGTTCCTTTTTCTCATCTTCTTGTTAGGAAAATAGATATACTTACAGAAAGGTAACTGATTGTAGAAGGGAGAGGGTTGGCAGTCCATCCAGGAATGGCTGGCTACGGGCCGGGCCTAATGGCCAGGCTGGCCCCTGTCAATTACCTCTTATCTCCAGGGCAACCTGAAGGAAAAGGATGACCTGGGCAGGGGGCTGTGGAGGGGAGAGGAAGCATCAGTGGAGTTTGCATTATTAGGATGGTGATTAAGGTAGTGCCAAAAAGGAGAGGTTTGCAGAGGCATCATGGGCAGAAGCAAACATCTGGACGCAGCCTTCTTCCCCAGCTGGTCCTGTAGAAAGGGGCCCCTGCAGAAGCAATAGGGGCCACATGGTCCCTTGTCATGAAATGGCTCTTATAATGGTGACACTTTGCATTTGTGGAGCACTTTATGCTTTTCAGAGTTCCCAGCCTCTCAGTTACTTTTCATACAGATCCTGGGAGATAGAGGGAATAATAGCATTATCCCATTTTAGAGATGGGGAAACAGAGGATCTGAGCAAGCAGAGTGACTGCCAGACCCAGAACTAGAGCTCAGACCTCCTAGTTTCTAAATGGGTGCTTTTTCCATACAGCAAGGTGAGTGCTCTGTGGTGAGTGTGGGTTCAAGAACCTGGCTGCTCATTAGAATCACCTGGGGCAAAAAAAAAAAATTCCAATGCCCACCTGAGCTCCTTGGACCACTGCAATCAGAATCTGGGGAATCTTGTGGGGTGGCGTGGGGCTTCGGCATCAGTATCTGTTAAAGCTCCCTTGGGAGATTCTAGTGTGCAGCCAGAGTTGGGAACCACGGTCACAGTTAGGACGGTCTCCTAACTCCCCCAGCACTGGTTTCCTCTGCACCCCAGCCTTCCTTCTGCCCCGGCTGTCAGAAAGCGGCCTTGACCCAGTCTGGTCAACCTGCCTACAAGGTCCATTGGTGTCCTGGGATCAGAAGGATGTCACTGTTTTGCAGAGTACCTCCCCAGGGGACCTGCCACCTGGACCCAATCCTGGAAGCTGAAGTCTCCTGGGGCCCCCTGACAGGAGGTGTGAGCAGAGAGCTGGGGAGGCAGGTGGCTCTGACGGACAGAAAGCAAACAGCTCAAAGGGGTGGCAGGCTGCATTTTATTCATCGTTTATTTAAACACCCTTCAAGCCCTCTCTTGAAGTGCTACTCAGAAAAATAAATATATTGTTTACGAAACCCTGCAGGCTTGCCCCGCATGCTCAAAACCCGCTCCTGAGAGAACATGTAGCATAGAAAATGATTTGTAAAGCAAGGGGGAGCTTCCCTAGGGAGGAGGAGGAGAGGGAAGAGGCAGAAAGAAAAGGGGAGAGGGTCTTGGGCTGGGTTAGTGCAGAAATCCCATCGCTCCTCAGCACAAAATGAGCCTGGCTGGGCACGGGGCCTGAGGTGCCAGAGCTGCTCCAGGGGCGAGAGTCCAGGCCCCGAGTCCAAGTTATGAGCCGTCCCGGGGTCGGGGTGGTTTCAGCGTCCCTTCCCCATTTGCCTCCTCACAGAGTGTGGAGCCTGCAGCACCACATGCTGGAACAAAGAAGCCAGCCCCCGCGCCCTTCTGCACTCAGAAGTGCCCTAAGCAGTTTGCCTGGACGTGCTCTCCAGACAGGACGCAGGAGAAATTGTGCTTTTTGTTTGTTAAGAATGTAAAAAGTTACAGTAAGATGGAACCACCTGGCCCACAGCTCCTGTGGTCTGTGCCTCTGTGGCTGCCGTCTGCCTCAGCTCCCCAGAAGCTTCTCCTTTGGCCATGAGGGCTCAGTCCCCGCTTCCCTCAGAGCACTCAGGAAGAAGGCATCTGCCAGGAGGCCTGCCTGAGGGACGGAGCAGCTGGGTAAATTTAGCAGCTATTTCCCAGGGATTGGCTTGGGTTTGGACGCTGGCTTCTGTGTAAAACACAAATTCATGCAAAGTGTACACGAAACTCCCCCAAGGCAGAGAGGAATTTTCCAGGCCCTAGTAGATCTCCAGGGAGTTAAAAATGGGAAGTCTTTCTTCTTAAAGTGGCCCCGACTGGGATTTTTCCTTGGAGAAAGGGGCTGGTAGCTCTTTGTAAGGCTGATGTGTGTGTGTGTGTGTGTGTGTGCATATGTGTGTATGATGCGGATATGTGGTGCTCCTAGGCAAATGCCCAGGACTGTCTGGCATTGTCCACAAGCTGAGGGCATGAGACTGCCTGAGCCTTCTGACTCCTTCTCCAGGCTTAGAGGCTCTGGCCTCTGTCAGAGGTCATAGATGCCTGACCACTGGGCCTTATTAGCAAACAAGGACACGGAGCATGGCTTCTTTACTTGCTTTCTCAGCTCTGAGAAGGCTTGGCTGCTGCCAAGACCTTGGCTTCTGTGTGGTCACAGCTGAGTGGCAAGGGCTTCTTAGAGCCTGTGCCGTCTTTATGGGAGCCCCACGGCCCCAGCATGGGCGGGATGAGTGGCGGCCTAAGTTTAGGAAGCAACTCCAGGAGCCTGGGGGAGCTGGAGCCTGCAGTCAGCTATGAGCTGTGGGTCAAACTGGAGACCTCCACATGATGGGAGAGGCCACAACATTTAAGAGAGTGGAGCCCTTTCTTAGCCTGAGGTTCAGAAGAACCTGCACCAAAGAAAGGGGTCCCTATCAATGCCATTGTTCCAGAAGTGATGAGAGGACCCCACCCCTGCTCGCCAAGCTGTCCTATTCTCAGTGCTCACCTGCAAGCAGGATGTCAAACAAGTCCTGTAGGCCTGGGTCCAGGCTCCACCAATCCCCCTGACCTCGGGAGCCAGGCTTTTCCTGGGAAGCAGCCCCTGGCCTCTGGGGCACTGAGTCCTTTGGCCTGAGGTGAAGGATGATAATGTGCTGAGATTTGGGGTGGGAGAGGGACCTGGGGAACACGGGCAAAAATACACGCGTGCCACTGGATCCTGCACTACCATTGTACATTGGAGGACTGGTGTTTCTCTGGGAGGTTGGGGAGAGGGAAGGGTCCCTTCCCTGCCCCCTCAAAACATGCTTATGATTCCTTCAGAGGCTCCTTCAAGCTGCCTGCAGTTGCTTCCTTCCAAAGGCAAAGAATAGGAAAAGAAGTGAAAACAGCTAAGGCTGTAGCATGAGCAACTCAGGATAGACTTTAGGAAGCACTGCTGACAGAGAAGACTGCCAAGGAAGGTTTGAGCTTTTCTTCTCTGGAGGCAGGTCCCGTTCCCTCCTGCAGGGCTGGGATTCTGCGCAGTCCTGTGCACTGGTCCGTGGGATCGCCTGGACATCTCTTTGGCCTGTCTAGCTCAGGGAGCCTCCATGGCTGGGCCTTAAGCCTCCCGTGCTGTTCCTGGGGCTCGCTTCCTCTGGGCTGGCTGCTCGTTTGCCTGCTGTTGAGTCCTCACAGTCCAGATGCCTCTATCATGGGGATCTCTACTTCCCCCTCTGTATGGCTCAGATCCCTAAGTTATTTCCCGTTGCCTAGGTGACACCTCTAATTGGATGCCTTTTAATCTTTCCTTCTTTCAAAGGGAGAAAACTGACACTTTTTCTCTAGATCCTGTGAGAGGACCCTGCCCCAGGGAACATGTGCCTCTCAAAGTGTGCGGTCCCTTCCATGTGACTCCCTCCGTGACTGCAGCCATGGCCCAGACGGGAGCCCAGGTGATCCCGGAGCTGGCCTCACTGAGTCCCAGTGGATCCTGGAAGTGTGGCTCTCTGGAAGTCTGCCCTTCAGGATCCAGCAAGACTGACCTCTCTCCTGGCCAGTTCTGCGTCACTGGCTTTACCCCCAGATTAGGGCCTGTTTTTAAAATCCAATCCCAACCCAAATTAGAAATTACCCCCCACCGGCCAAAAAAGAAATGATCCAAATTAGCTGGAGAGTCACCCGGATCCCAACTTAGTTTTTCCTTCCTGCCATGAACTGGAAGGGGAAAGAGGAGGCTGACATTCAAGCCCGACTCTTAATGCTCTGTGTGTGTGTGTGTGTGTTCATTCCAGGCACAGTGTCTTTCCCTGCAAGGGAGGGGAATTTCACGGCTCTCTATGCGTCTAGGGCAGACGGTGTGAGGTGTCTGGTGCTTTTCTAGACTTCCTGTCAGAGGCTGTATATATCGGTGGGTCACATAGTGTATGACTAGACTCTGGCATTTGTCCTTGGGATTGTCATCTTTTCAGAAGAGAAAAAGGGGCCCAAAGGGTGTTCCTTTACAGTCCGAGAGCCACATCCTTTCAATAAAGGCGGCATCTGGCCTTCCTCCAGGTCAGTGACCCCTACGCCCTCAGAGGGCGACTCTGGGAGAACCTGTACCCTCAGCCTGAGGACCATCCAGAGCAAAGCTTTAATCCTAAAATTGCTTCCATCCACCGCTTCCCCCAGCTCCCTCCCTCCCGCCTTCCTCCACCTGCAATACAGACTGCGAGTAGCAGAAACAAATTCACTAGACCCTCAGCGGGGGCCAAACTGGGTTTAGAATGGGATGTGTCCCAAACACATCACGGGCCCTGCAGCCAAATTCTCTGACATTTGCAGGAAGGTTGCTTTGGGTTCCTATCGACCCAGGGCGCTGACGCAGAGGAGGAGGAGGCGGAGCGGCAGTGGGGGAGGGGGCTCTGCGCTCAGGTCCTCTAAACCGGGAAAAAGTTGAACTGATCAAAGGGAGTTAAGAAAAAAAGTCCTCACCACCACAAGCAAAAACTCTTGTCTGAGAAGATTCGGACGTTCCTAATAATGAAAAGCCTTCCCGTGGATGACGCTGGTGAAAGAAAGGAGGTTTGGGGGACTCAGAGATGTGCCCCAGCCTCAGAGATCAGCCGGCTGAAGCAGCGCAGGGCTCCGGAGCCGAGCGCTCCCCGGCCTGCAGGTCACCCTGGGCTTTCCCTCATTAAAAGTAGCTGCCCTGTGTGCTGTGCTCAGTGGACTGACTCCAGGCTGAGAACGGCCAGCTAAGCCCCTTACCATTGCAATTTCCAAGTCTCGGGGAAATGCCACAGTGCGCAAGTTGGTGCTGTTTCATCTCATTGCATAATACTACACCATTCTCAGTGTGTAGCGGCTGTTCTATATATACGCATCGGGAGGCAACATATGGCTCTCCCCACCCCCACCTGTCAAAACTGTGACTATATCACTTCTGACGACCAGAAGGAAGCTGCTAGGCTGGGCCAGGATTCTAAATGCTGCGGAGGTAATTCAGAGCCATGAAAAGTTGCACCATATGCTTTGGGGTCGCCGGCTGCTTATGTGCATGGAGACGGGGTTTAGTGCCAGTCTGCAAAACCCAGGGGTGGCACTCTCCTCGCTGCGATATGCACCGGGTGAGGGTCTGGGGTGCCACTTTTTCTCTCCCTGGAGGAGAATCTGCTGGGGCCACGGTTCTCCTAGAGGGGACCCACAAGGAAAACAGGCTCCCCCAAAACCTGCCCTTGATAACATCAGGCCTGGCCAAATAGTGTTTCTTTAAAAAAATTTTTTTTTGGTTTCATTTTATTGGATAGAGATTAAGAAAGCGCCAGGGTCTGAGAGATGGAAAGCAAACCACGCCCAGCGGCACGCCAGCCTGGTGAGGGTCCTTGGCGCTGCCGGGCGGGTGGGCGCGCGGTCTACCTGGAGGCGCTGGTCTCGGCCAGACGGTTGTTCATGATGCCCAGCGCGCCCACGCCGCCCGAGAAGCCGTTCTGGCGCGTGTTGACGCACACGCTGCGCGGGTAGCCGTTGGCCGTCTCCGACAGCTGCTTCTGCAGCAGCGCCAGCGACACCTTGTTGGAGGCCGTGAGGTCGCGCATGGAGATAAGCTCGCCCGACAGGCGGCGGCCCTCGGCGTCGCTGTCGCGGGCCCCGGGTTCGGCGCCGAGCGCGGCCAGGCGGCGGCGCAGCCGGGAGCCCGGGGTGATGGCGTTGCGCCGGGCCAGGGGCGCGCCGGGCGCCGGGCAGCAGCGCGCGCAGCAGCGGCAGCTCAGCTTGCGCAGCATCCAGTTGAGCACCTGCTTGATGAGGATGGAGATGACGTTGAAGAGCGAGTAGATGCAGCACACGCCGAGCAGGATGAAGAGGAAGTTGCCCAGGCGGTAGAGCCCCTGGTTCCGGTAGGCGGCGTGCTGGCTGCTCACCAGGTCCCCGAAGCCGATAGTGCTGAAGGTGACGAAGCAGAAGTAGAGCGAGTCCATGTAGTCCCAGCCCTCCACGCTGGTGTACATGGCCGAGGCGCAGCACGACAGCAGCACGGCGAACAGGCCCAGGATCAGCAGCACGTGGTACACCGAGGGCTTCCAGCCCGCCAGGCAGTCGGCCTCCGAGAGCGCCGAGCCGCGGCGGAAAGTGGCGGGCAGCAGGCCGCTGCGGCGCAGCTGGCGCTCCCGGCAGGCGCGCATGACGAAGGCCAGCAGCGAGATGATGCGCTCCAGGAAGAGGTTGAAGAACAGGATGGTCCCGGCACAGCCGAACAGCCCATAGGCGATGAGGAAGGCCTTCCCGCCCACCGTCGCGGGGGTGGTCATGCCAAAACCTGCGGAGACAGGGCAAGGGTCAGCGAGGTCCTGGCAGGGCAGGTGGTCCCTGCCGGGCCGGGTGGTGAGGAGGGCAGGCGAATGCCAATGCTGACATGGCTCATATCCTGAGCGGCATCACTCAGTGAAATGGTAGATGTGTCTCTCCCTTGGTGTACTAGACACAGTTCCTGATCTTGGCAACTCCTAAACTGACAGAGTTTAGGAGTTGGGGACAGGTCCCTGTCTTGGGGATCTAGAAATCACCCTTGCTCAGACAGTGGCCTAGGGAAAGGTTTGGGCCCACCTGGGTCCTGTGCTGCCGTGTGTCTGGGTTGCTTTTATCCTGGGAGGTCTGCTCTGTGCCTGGGCAGCAGATTATTGCTTTGAACTCATAATTAAGTCTTAACTTACCACTGCTCAAAGCACAGTCTTTTTTTTTTTTTTTAAAGATTTTATTTTTTCTTTTTTCGCCCCAGAGCCCCCCAGTACATAGTTGTATATTCTTCGTTGTGGGTCCTTCTAGTTGTGGCATGTGGGACGCTGCCTCAGCGTGGTTTGATGAGCAGTGCCATGTCCGCGCCCAGGATTCGAACCAAGGAAACACTGGGCCGCTTGCAGCGGAGCGCGCGAACTTAACCACTCGACCACGGGGCCAGCCCCTCAAAGCACAGTCTTTAAGGGAGATTCTTTATCAACTGATTTCTGCAGAAGGCTTGGCTTCCTGCCAGCATGCTCGACCCATGCCATCCAGGGCAGCGCAGCTCCGGCCCTCCAACCTGAGCTCTCAGCCTGTTGCTGGCTGTGGTGTCTTTGTGGGACCACGGTTGCCTGACTCTGGTTATGGGAGGGGATTTCACATCTTGGAGAAAGATTCTCTGCCGCTTGGAGTCTGAGCTGAAAATGGGTCACGTGTCTGAGCAGCACCACGGCACCTTTCAACCCGTCTGCAGCAAAAGTTCAGGACATCTCTGTTTAATTCATGCCCAGTATCAGGAGGGTCACCTGTGTGCTGCCAGCGGGGTGGGCCCAGCCCTGGGAAAGGAGTGGCTATTTCCCTAAAAACGCCAGAGGAAATACTCTTTCAGAGTAATTCCTTAAATTTGCATGCGAATCATTTTCTGGATCCCCTGGAGGGAATGCCCAATTGCCTGACATGGTCTTCATCTTATGCTTAATGACTCAAGTTAGGAGAAAATCTTATGATGATGATGCGGGGTCAGTGAGCCCAGGAGTCGAAAGAAAGATTTCTTGGACTCTCAAGATCTGGCAGTAGTGCTCTTTTATTTAGAGAATAGTGTGGAATAGCATGGGGACAGGACCCATGGGCAGGCAGAGCCGCTGCTGCTGCCCCGAGTTGAGGGTTAGGGCTAATTTTATAAGGCATGGGTATGTGAGTCATCTCTTTACAAGACAAAGGAAAGAACATGGAAAAAAAGTTAAAATGGTATCAGTCCAGGTGGGGTCTGGTCATTGGGTGATCCCATGACTTTTAGACAAGAATCAAATCGGATTAAGTAAAGGTCAGAAGCCACCACCCTAAATCAGTTACATGAGATTGCCAGACAGCAACCAACTTAAGTTCTTGCCTTCCCCATTAAGAGTTTCTAGGGACAAGGTCATCTCTCTTCTTCCTGGTACAGAGAGGGAGGCACCTTTTACAGATAGAGATTTACCTTACAAATGTAAATGTGTCCCAACAAAGGCAAGTTCCATTCCCCAGAGCCTCCCTCCCTGTCCCAGTTTATCAAAAGCAATCAGCCCCAAACAATCGCAATGCCAAAGAGACATATCCTGGGGTGGCCAATTTCAGGTCCCTACAAGGTCATCCCCCCTTCCTTCACAAGTGCAAATATCTCTCGAAGAGCAAGCAAATTCCAGTCCTCGGAGCCTGCTGCTCATCTGCAGTTTTAAAAGTAACCAGCCTAAAATCCTCATCAATGATGTTGAGGAAGATGGATTATGCCCCTAGATTCAGAATTTGGCCACAAAAGTGTGAAAAAACCAAACAGTGTAACCAGGAATGGAATAAAGGGATTTTGCTATACTTTAAAGCCAAACTCAAGTTCTTGAATTCATAAAGAAATCAGCTCTGAATCTACGTGGCTACCTGTGGAGTGTGTGTGTGTGTATTTATAGAAAGTCCTGGACTGATAACCCAAGTGTCCAGCAACTTAAGTCATGGTCTTTTCATACAAAAAATACTATACAACAAGGAAAGCACGAACCACTGCCACTTGCAACAACAGGGATGAAGCTCACAAAAAGAATGTTAAACAAAGGAAGCTGGACACAAAAGAATATACTCTGGGGGCCAGCCCTGTGGCTGAGTGGTTAAGTTCGAGTGCTCTGCTGCGGCAGCCCAGGGTTTCACTGGTTCGAATCCTGGGCGTGGACATGGCACCACTCATCAGGCCATGCTGAGGCGGCATCCCACATGCCACAACTAGAAGGACCCACAACTAAGAATATACAACTATGTACCAGGTGGCTTTGGGGAGAAAAAGGGAAAAAATAAAAATAAAAAATAAAATCTTAAAAAGAAAGAGAAGTTGATATTAGAATTATAAAAAAAATAGAATATACTCTGTACAATTGCATTTATATAAAACTCAAAACCAGGCAAAACCAAACTACGGTAATTTTTTTAGGGATGCATACTTGGTAAAATTATAAGGAAAAGAGAGGAAGCGATTTCAATAAAAGTCAATTGGGATCTCCTCGGGGAGTGGCAGGAGGTAGCGACTGGGAAGGGACACTGGGGTGCTGGAAATGTTCTGTTGACCTGGGTGGTGGTTTCATGGGTGTTAGTTGTATAATAATTTGTCAAACTGTGTTTTATGAGGTTTTCTTTGTACTCTCACGATAAGGCAAATTTTAGATAATTCCTACACTGTTAGGACTGTAAGGACTTTAATTCTGACCGACCCCTCACTGTGAAGGTGAGGGAGCAGGGGCAGAGGGGGCATGACCTCCAGCTTGTTGGGGACAGACACAATATATGTGTCCTGGCTTCTAGCCGGTGCTTAGACCCTTATACACAACACTGCTTCTCCTCACATAGGGAAACAAAACTGCTAGTAGGGGGATCATTTTGCTAAATTCCTGAAGAACTGGAAAATCCTGAGCCTGGAAAATTAATACTTCGCCTAAGACAGTATTGAATGGGATTTCCCTATTCTTTAGGATTCTCAGCTAAAGTGTCAAAACTAAGAGTGACATGTGGTACGTTAGCCCCCATTCTAGAGAGAAGTTCTAGATACATCTATGCTGGATTACCAAAACAGCAAAACAGGTCTGGCACCTAGCAATCCCCACTATCCACTTCCAGGGGGTTCTGAAAGGCTAGAAATTGTCCAGGGATAACGGAGGATGGTCATGAAGTCGGAGAGCTGTTGTAGTAGAGGGCGCTGTGCATCCTCCACCTGCCCCCAGGCCACGTGGTGGGGGAGGTGGTCAAGAGAACCTCAGGCTGCAGCAAGAGGAGAGGTGGCGGCTCACTTCCCGGCTGGATGCTGGCTGAGCTGCAGACACTGGCAGGCCCAGCCAGGGCCACTGGCGTAGAATATGTTGCAAGTTCCGGGAGAGCCAGCGGTGTCTCCTGGAGTCTGAAGCTGAGTGCGAGAGTTGTCTGTGTGGGAGGCCGACTGGGGCAGCCCACACAGGCAGGATAGGGAAGAGGACAGCAATGGGAGCAGCCTGTACTTCCAGGGCTTGCTGTGTCAAGGTTGTGTGAAAGTGACGTGGGTCAAGTGGACACTGCAGAAGGCAGCCAGATCTGAAGGGACTCTGCCCAAGAGGGCTGCCTGCTGGATCAAGGGTGCCCTCACAATAAGAGGCTGAGGAGCAGATGGCTGGGGACAGAATGCGAGGTGGTCACAGGGGGTACCGTGGAGAGGACACCACCTACTCAGGGAATGGTGCAGGACAGTGGTCCCTGTGGAGGGGTCTCCAAAGACCCATAAATGGGCCCCACAAAAAGGCATGTCTGTCCTAACAGTGGGCATTGCAGCCCCACCAGCAAAACCTAAGAAAAGATTATAGTGGGGCCAGTGATGTAAGACCAAGAGCGAACAAACAGACTCCCCCTCCGGCACCGCAGGTCCCTGAGCTATGGGCCAGGCTCGAGCTGGAGGGAGAGGCTGAGCTTTGATTAGAAGTGAATTTGATTAGATTTTGATTTAGATTGGATTGGACATTTGAGAATGAGTCTCAATTTTAAAACTGCTGGTACTTTCTTTTTGTTAGAAAAAAAAAAACCTATTTGGAAAACTACACAAGATGTCGTTAAGGGATCCAAAGGGGAGTTCTTTAAGAAAATAGAAGACAAGACTATTTCCTGTGTTGGTGCATTTAATAAACTGGTTGCACCTGGATTTACTCTCCACAGTGGCGAAGGCCCACACCTGAGCGTGCCAGCCCCCATGTGCCATCTCACTTCATCTCCACAGCAACCTGAGAGGGGAGGCACACCCCCATTCAGCAGATGAGGAAACTCCGGGCCAAGGGGTTAAGTAGTTGTCAAGGCCCCACCAGCCTAGAAATGGTGGAGCTGAGGCTGAAACCCAGGTCTGGTAGTGTCTAACATCCATGTTCTGTCCACCACCCCAGACTGTCTTCTGAAAGCATCACAGGGCCTCCATTGCTCTTAGAAAACCAAATTGCAGTCCTCCAGGGTGGGCAGGCAGGAGAGCACGTACATGTGGGGAGGGTGGCTGACCCTTAGTCACCACCCCTGTCCCCAAGAGTCCTCTGCCCACTTGCGGCTCTCTTTCCGCTGACCATTGCTGGGAGAGGGGCCACCGCTCCTCCCTGAATGTTCTCACCAAGGTGGACTCATGCCCCTCCCACAGCACAGCTAAGACAAGCAGGGCTATTAAACCAGACTTGAGCCAGAGCTTGGGGACAGCAGGAGGAATGAGACACAGGGGGAACCACTGCTTCTGGCTAACAGTCTGGCTGGCTGCCCACAGGCAGGGTACTCATCTGCCCCTTGGGGTCCCCACAGAACTGCCCCTGC